CGGCCGAGCAGCCGGGCGCCCCTGTCCGCGAGCTCGTCCCTGGACCAGCCCCGCACGGCCAGCCCGGTAGCCAAGCCCGCCGTGCAGAAGGTGTCCGTGGCCATCGACGCGACCCCCGGCGCCAGGTCGTCCTCCGTTCTGCGCCAGCTCCCCATCGAGCTTAGCAAGTCCATGGACGAGACGACTCGCTGTGGCACTCAGCCCGAGGACGCGCCCAGCACCACGGCGGGCATTACCAGGTCCACGCCGGCGCTCTGCTCGAGGCCGTCCCTGCAGCGCGGCGAGGCCGTGTCGGCCGACGAGCCCGACGGACCGGCCGCCGGCAGGGAGCGCCGCCGCAGCACCACGAGCGTCCACCTGGACCTGCAGCCCAGCGTGGTGGACATCCTCGTGGCGCCGCAGACGTCGCCGCCGGCCTCCCCGCCGGCGCACCTCCACTCGTTCGTCGGGCCTCGGGACGTGAATGTGACGTCGCGCGACGAGGCCGTCCCGGAGCAGTGCGGACCAGAAGAGGCTCTGGACAACATGCGGCGCAGAAACTTCCCCAAGGTAGTTGGTGCATTATCTGGTCGTATTCTACGTTGGACATTTGCAAGAAGTTATTGCTTTGATTAAGTTTCCCAAATTTAACACGGGGTAGAACAGAGGGGCGACGTTTTGTCGAGTAGCGAGCTAAAGCTGAAGTGGACGTGGACATTCAGGTGTCAGGTGTCCGCACAACGAACATGTAGGATCATCCAGAAAGTACGCCCTTCGTTAATCGTTACAGCACGGACAGGTTCAACCAACCAGCCCGCCCGAACACGGCCCTCATAGCGCCTGATAGGTAGGCAACATCTCGCCTATAGTGCATGCGTGTACTGCGGCAAGGCCTACCCTGAGTTTCGCAGGCGCCGAGCTCCAGAAATGCGCCAAACAAACCTGAAAAAAATATACGTACCTTCTGGATACCCCCCCCCCTCCTCTCCCCCCTACCGATGCTATTGAAGGCACCAGATCTGATGCGCGCTATAAAGGCCAACCCGCTAAGCAGCTGGGTAAAGACGGCGGCCGGGGCTTTGGGAAAAAAATATATGCCTATGGCATCCAACGTTCCTACTGTCGCCTCGTGGGGACGATCATGGTGGGGGACAGAAGGGCTTTTAACCAAGGCTCCAAGGATCCAGGGTAACCTTTACACTAGACGACCCCTCCTGTATCCTCCCTTTGTTCCACCGCCCCTGACCGCAGCGGAAGTCACACTTGTCGTGCGCATAGTGCAGATTGTGCGGATATGTCAAGACCTCATTCTAAAAGCTTTTCTCGATGACAAGTCGTTATTTTTACCTGATTTCATCTCTGGTCCAAAGCGTTACTTACATTCCACTTGTCTGCCCATCTTTCCAGGTGCTCCCCGATTTTCCGGGCGTAAGCTCCGGTGTTCCCAGCGGGGTCCCCGCTCAGCAGCTGCAGATGAGCGCCATGCAGCTGGCGGCGCGACGTCGCTCGCTGCCGCCAGGGCAGCTGCAGATGCTGCGGACTTACCCCGGGCCGTACCCGACCATCGACGAGGCTGACACGGGCGCGTACAATCGGATGAGACCGGCGCCTCCCCCCAGGATCTCGTCGACGCTCGGCCGGAGACCTCAGCAACAGGTAGGTGTGACGGTGTGGCAGCTCGCTAAAACGGGCTGAAGTACGGCTCTCACGTTCACGGTAACCCGGGCACCCAGCCTCCTGGGTAGGACCTGGAAAAACGAAACGGGTACCCCGGGTAGACCCGGAGGAACCGCGCCTGTAGGTAGGCAATTTTACACACCGGT